GTTTAAACAAGATTGACTCTAAAACTTTTACTGCGTTATTCAGTATAGATATGGGCCTATAATTGTTAATCACATTACGATTTTCAGACTTGTGTACAGGACACACTTTAGCTACTTTCCAGCTATCTGGAAAAGTTGACGTTTTTAAAATTAGGTTAAAAAGTGTCTTGAGGGGATAGATTAAAACTCTAATACAATCTTTTAATAAAAATGATGGAATTTTATCAGAACCAGAAGTAAATTTATTTTTTAATTTACGAGCAGCATCAATTGTACCTTTTTCAGATATAGGTTCTTAACTAATATAAATCAGATTACCATTGTGAAAATTAAAATTTAGATTTGCATCATCTGGATCTGCCAAAGAAAAAAACACTTTCAAAAGCATTTGCAATATCTTGGGGATTATTATATGATTCCTCACCACAATACATTGTTCCAGGAATTCTTGAACTATTATTTTTTTGATGTACAAAGGACCAAAAAGATTTAGGTTCATTTACTAAGCAGGTTTGGACATTTTCCAGGTAACGTGAATATGCTAAAGTAATTTTTTGTTTAAGTAATGTTCTAAGTCTACTGAATTCCTGATAGTGAGCAATATTGTTTGTTCTTTTAAAATTCCTATGTATTTTAGCTTTATACTTTATTAGATTTATAATTTCGCCTGTATACCATACTGGATATTTATGTTTAAAATTTCGTAAGTGGAACATAAGGCCAATAATTTCATAGTTTATTATAGAAAGTTAAATAGAGTTTAGTTACACATCATTAAAGACGAGCAGAAAATTGTCACTGCCTGTCTTATTTTAAATTATGAAAACAGAATAGGAAATTTATAGTTTATTTTAGTACTTAATTGAATATCCTGTAAATGAAATAATAATAATAATAATAATAGTAGTAATAATAATACTCTCCCTAATTTACCATCTTACGAGTGAATTTTAACCACAAAAGCTGAGCTTGTCCAGGGAAAGGGACGGCCATTATTATTATTATTTGCCGTTGCGCTCCAGGGCGACTTAAAGATGATTGATGGTGTGAATGACTTACAGGTGAGGGAAACCCCACCCACCATCATCGAAAACGGGAACGTAGGGTGATTTTTTAATAATCTGGATGTCATATCAACAGAAATTAAATTTAAATTTCTGCTAATATGGCATCCATAAAATCATATAGAGAACCATGCAGCACATGACGCCTAAGTAGCAACAGACGTTTTTACAGACACTTTTCAGCGTTTAATAAACGAATGCACGGTAATAAAAAATATTCGGAAAAAAAACTCAAAAAAAATAAAGCCATGGATTACTGAAGGTCTTACAAGGTCCATTATCGCAAGAGATAAATTAAAAAACGGTTGTGTAAAAATTTTTCGGTAGCTTTAGAGGATCAATATAAAACATGTAAACATAACTACTATAAAAACATAATAACACAAAATCAAAATAACATGAAAAAATATATCAAGTCATTTCTGACGCAACAAATGAAAAATCTGAAAAAAATACAAACAGCTTAGATATATTCAATGATAATGGACAAGCTTTCAATAGTAATAACGAAATGGCAAATTTTTGTAATGAATATTTCACTAGTATAGGCACTAAAATGATTGAAAAAATAAATATACCCCACATTTTCTCATTATATAATACCCCCATTAATAATAACTATTTATTTTTACAGAAAATTAAATATACCTCCATATCAATTCATTAAAAAATGCTAGTGCACCTGGGTATGATGGAATCACCAACTTTTTGTTAAAACTAACTGTGAGATACATTGTACACCCTCTAAGTCATATCATTAACTTAATATTCAGTAATGGAAAATTCCCCAAACAATTTAAAAACTCTGTGATAACTTCTACCTACAAAGCGGGTGAAAAAAAAAAAAATTCAAACTATCGCCCAATTAGTTTAATCAATAACTTTGGAAAAATTACTGAAAAATGTCTAAAACCACGTTTAATAAATTTTATAAATATTAACAAAATATTAAGTGAATATCAGTAAGGTTTCCTAGAAGGTAAAAGCACGTCAGATGCCATGTATGAGGTTATTAATGAAGTTTCAATCAATCTTGATAACAGTAAAAAATGTATCGCAGTATTCCTAGATTTAGCTAAGGCTTTCAACACAGTACATCATGGCAAATTATTACAAGTTTAGAGCGGTATGGAATCCGCGGTACTGTGTTAAATCTATTTGATCATTCACAATATGTAAAAGTCAATGGATGTCTAAGTGAACCGCTACTGGTAAAAGTAGGTGTGCCGCAAGGGACAGTCCTAGGGCCTCTACTTTTCACAATTCATATAAATTATCTATTATCACTATACATAAATAGCAAAGTAGTATCATATGCCGATGACACTGTTGCCATATTTAGTGGATATGATTGGAACAATACTAAACAAAGCATTCAAGAAGGTATGACTGTCATAAAGAAGTGGGCTGGATGGGTATCAGCCGTCTTTAAATGCAGATAAGACCAACTAAGTATATAGCATTTACCATTACAGATATAAACAGACCTAATTTTCACAGCATTAATATTAATGGCATTGGAGACATAAAAGAAGTTGAAAATATTAAATATTTAGGAATTATTATAGATAAAAATATAAAATGGAATCAACATATAGCATATTTAACGAAACGAGTCTGAAAACTAATATACAAATTTTATCAATTAAGATATATCTTGAGTAAAAATATTTTGATTTTAGTATTCAAAACATTAGTGGAATCACTTTTAAGATATGGAATTCTGGTTTAGGGAGCATTATATCATAATTCATTAAAAGCCTTGTTTACAATCCAAAATTATGTACTGAAAATTATTTACAACAAAAAATAGGTGATACTCAACCTGACTACTTTATGGAAGAGATATATGCAACATCAGAACGCTGTACTTTCATACATTGGTAACATTTATGCAAAAAAAAACATTTTAAAAATCATATCTCTCATAACAAAAAAATTGCTGAAAGTACCTAACTCCAATAAAAATGTACATACAAGATTTGTTTACCATCTAGCCTCAAAGACTTACAATTTATTACCATTAAGTATTAGGAAGATTAAAAACTACAAAAAATGTTCACTTCAATCTAAGATATTTATAAATGACAATTATTTATCTTTTATAAAACTAATGGACTAATTTACTTTATTTTTAACCGACTTCAAAAAAGGAGGAGGTTCTCAATTCGTCCCTTTTTTTTATGTAGGTGATGTATGTTCAGCGATAATTATTTAACAGGGTGTCCGATTTTAATGATTCTTTTTTTGTTAGAAAGGGGGTACTTCTGGGGTGGTCCCATATAAATTTGGTCAAAATCTAATAATTGGGTCCATGAAAAAATCTTCGAACTCTTCATTTTTATGTATGTTTAGCGATAATGCTTTACCACCTTGTCCGATTTATATGATTCTTTTTTTGTTAGTAAGGGGGTACCTCAGGGGTGGTCCCATATAAATTTAATTAAGATGTGGTGATAGCACCTGCACGTTTTTGAAGTCGGTTTTTTTTAATTTTTAATACTTGTATGATTCACCGTTGAAAAATTCCTTTGTCTTTCGTGCTTTACTTTTTTAAATATCCCTACGACCAAAATCTTTACTGGTACTAGCAACAGATCTATTATAATAATTATTAATTTGAAATTTATTTAATATAGTATAGGAAAGATATCAAACTTGTTGAATTAAAAAAAAACTATGTTAAATACGTTCTGCACAAAACAAGTGTTAAATCACTTAGGTGCAATTCTATAGAAAAAAAAAAAAATATATATATATATAAGTATTACCAGTGACGTGATTTATTTAAACACAATTTCGCTTAAAATAACAATATTGTAAGTTATTTCTATTTTAAATGTTAACATTTTGCAATGGTTTATTTTATATATCCTCAATCTATTATATATATAATTTAAATTAATTTTATTGTTAATACTTAGGATTTTATTATTATTTGTAATGTGTATCTTAAATTGTTGTACAACATTTTAATGGACTATGACCCATAAATAAATATATGCAAATAAATTTACATGGTCTTCCATAGGATTCGAAACTGAGTCTTGTTTATCAGAAAATTGGCTCGCAAATGAAATGCCGTGCCGTAGACAACTACACTACTGTAGTCGATGAATATACCTACTATATTGCAATGTAGTGAATCAGTATATTCACTTTTTAGGTACTTTTAATAAAGAGGACAAATGGAATTTACATATGAAAATGAGAAAACAAAAATTGAAGATGTCTTGATTCTGGCAAAAAAATCTCCAATATAACTAGTGGCTCTACAGGGATATTGAGGAAAACCATGAAACATTTCTTCCAGGTAACACTCAAACTTATATTTCGGAATTTAATGATAATGAATGAGTGAAACTAATTTAATATTCTACAAAATATTTATCATTTTTATGTTTTATTTTATTGAAAAGAATTAGAATATTATGCTTAAACCAGTCAACTCCATTGATTGTTTATAGTTGTATACTTTTATAATTTCAGCCTAACCATTTCACTACATACCTACATATAAACATTTTGTCAAAATGGTCTGGGCTGGTTTATGGATTGGATCCTTCAAGTAGAGATTTCATCAATATGGACCACCAAGATCCCAACAATTAAGTAAATATACAATATATTTTTTGTAATTTTTAAATTGGATCTTGTATTTGAGACATGGTGAAAATCCTTATTGACAGAGGACATGATAAATATTGTTAATGAGGAACAGTTAAATCATTTAAATCTTTCAAATCTATAGTGCCCGATACTAGACAAGTTCAGATAGATCTGGACAATCAAAAGTTAGAAATTATTTTAAAATTTATGATTTTGAAGAAGAATTTCGTATGGTGTGCCGATTGCCCGGTAACTAAATGCTTGATTAGACGCTCAGATAAATAAAATCTGCCGATATGTAATTGATACCAATAATGTAATACTTACAAGAAATTTGTGATAGAATACAGATTTTTCACAATCCTTCCGTATTTTGTTTATAGCCCCATGGTTCCTTGATAAAGTGAAACTGTCTAAAATTATAGTGACATTGGGAATATGCGTTGCATGTCGTTTTCTAAAAAATGCTGTTTTAAAAAAGAACTTATTGTATAAAATGTTTCTTCTTACTTTTTGTTTTTACCCATTATACCAGTAACACAGTGTCAATCAAATATATTTTATTGTTACTATAAATTATAATATTGATTGACGCATAAACACTCAACCAAACAAAACCCTGTCAAACTGCTGATCTGATCTCTGATCAGTGTTGCCACACCAATAAATTTTTTCGTAATAGAATTTTGAACCAAAAGGTAATAAAATCGTAATAGATAATATTTTAAAGTAACATAAATGTACCAGAACTAATATTAAAAGCTATATCAAGCTAGCGGGCACTCTGTGGCGGCACCATTCAAGACCTGGCGGGTTTTTTGTAGCTTTTTTGTTACGCTATTTGCAAATTTGTAGCTTAGCCCAGGTCCCAAAAAACAGCGGATCCGCTAGCTTGAATTTCCATAAATTCCATAGTAGCGGCACAGATTCAGACCCAGCTGGTTTTTCGTAACTTTTTTGTAGCTTTTTTGTTACGCCAGTCTCCCTTTTGTAGCTTGTACTGAACCTGAGAAAAGCGCGGATCCGCTAGCTTAGCGGATATTTTTAGCGGCACCAGCTCGGACCCGCCTCATTTTTTGTAACTTTTTTGTTACGCCTGTCTCGATTTCGTTGCGAGGCCTGAACGTGAGTAATAATCGTTTCTCCATGAGCGTGAGAGAAAAGTGCGTTAATTTAAAATCAAGTTTCGGCCTCTACAAGTAATATGTGCAACTCGATAGTGTGACTATCTGTTACTAGATGGCACCAGTATTGCATTTTACGAATTATGGCCATCTTTCATCCAATATATTTTTGAGAAATTTAGATATAATCTCAAAATCGGACATTTTCAACGGTATGTATATTAATTATTTGACCGATATTAATGTAAAATACATATTGACAAGATTATTAAAATAGTTGTATGCCGGATGCCACTACCAAGCAATGACATATAGTTTAAATAGACTGCTTATCCATACGTAAATAAAACGATGAAAAGTGTGTCGAACTGGGAGATGTTTTCTCTTTGTCTAGTGCATGCAATGTTTGTGTTTTGTCTCAATTTTGAGTGCTCACTGGTAAACAAACCTTTCACAGGACCGGTTTTAAAGAAAGTTTAGTCTAGTTGAGATTTTGTTCTCATTGTCATTACTCAGTGGGACATTTTGTTGAATTGTTTATTTTATTTAGTTTTAATTATACTTATGTTCTGTTTTAAGTTTTTTAATTATTTGAGTATAAAAACTTGTTTTGTTTTTAAATTTAAATGGTGAATTGCTCTATAAAGGTTTGTAAGACTACAGAAATATAAAAAGTAACATTTCATTTTTCACGCAAGTATCAATACAAGTAGGTACAAGATAAATACGTTTATAATAATTTTACGAATTATAATTAATTATAATAATAATAATAATATTCCCAGCTAGCACAAAAACATCCCATCTACGTTAATAAGCTGCAATTTTAGGCTCTTTAAGCTCGCATGCAATGTACCGTAAACGTAACCCTATTATCCCTGCAACTACCGAATGTCCGCAACTGCAAGACTTTTATAGCACATCTCGTAGAAGTTATAAAGTGAAGTTCGGAAAACATCACACTAGCACTTTTACGGTACTTACCCCGAAAGTTGCTCTGAAACGTTCTATTGATGTTATAATGTGAATTAGATCTACAGCATTATACAGTGTGTCCACGGATGGGCTTAACTATACTTGTGAAAATATTTATTTTAAATTAAAAAAGTAATTCTTCATAATTTCTTGCTTGTTAAATACATTCGATTCACATTGAGAAATTATGAAAAATAACTTTTTCTTTAATTTAAAATAAATATTTTTACAAGTATAATTAAGTCCATCCATGGACACACATTGTGTAATGTAATACAGAGAGGCTGAAATTGAGGCTATAGTAAAATCTCAATCGAGACATGAAAATTTCAAATAAAACAAAATATTTATATAAATTTATTATTAAAATGTTCTTGAAATCAAGTACCAATAGCACAAAAGTAGAGGTAGGTGTAGGCGTGTTCTTTTATTCAGTGCTGTATCCAGCGCTTGCAGCAAACCGTTCGTAAATTAAGTGATGGAAAGACGATTGTATGTGTCAATCATTCTTTTTTCCAGCGGTGAGTTCACCAATGAGCCAAGGCATCCATCGGCTTTAAAAGCCGATGGATATGTGATAGACGAATGGTGAGGATAATCAATCATTTAAGTTAACCTAAAATATAAGAGTTCAAATATAAAACGACTGCAGAATAGATAAATTACATCAATCACTGATAGAACAATTATTGAATAAAAGAACACACCTTATATCACAAACACAAGTACACATGTGGGATAGAAGAAGCTACCTAGAAAGCACTGAACGATTGGACAAAATTAGCTAAATAGTATAATAAGGTACCAATATTGCAAAGGTTCACTAAAACCTTAAATGGTGAACGATGATAAAGCTAGATTGGTGAAAAATAATAAACAAATACAACAATGACTAGGTACATATTATTATATTAGATTACTAGAGGATAGCTAAGTTAGCTGATTTCTTACCTAAGACGCAGAGATATATCTTTTTTAAATCAAGCCTTTTAACTTTTTTTGCATAGATATTTATAAAGTGCTATAATGTAACCTAAATATGACAATTTATTAGAAGATAATAAATTATATTTTTATATAAAAAGATTTTACTTCTCAATACATTGAATAAAAAAGAAATTGATAACTTGTTTACCTATTATTAATTAAAGGAAATTATATAGAAATTAAAAAATATGCCTTACTTTGTTGTTTTAAATAAAACAACCAATGTTAGTGTATTGAAATTTGTTTGAATTTTACAAATTTTATGCTTGATTTCCAAAGTAGATATATCGATGGCTCAATCAAAAAACGCACAAGTCAAAAAACAAAGCAATTACATTTTTGGTTCAATGGATGCAAAATATCATTACGGTTTTACTTTAAATACCACCACAAACAAAAATATCCTTAAAGATAAATCATTTAAAATGTAGCCACAAACTGTGTCTAAAACTGCCTCAATTCGAGTTATTTTCTTCAAAAACACCCAAATTTTTTACAACTATGCAACAACTCACTTTTATAATCGTAATCATTTTATTTAACAGCAAAATATCGAAGCTTTTAAATAAAATATAAAGAGTATGTCAAAAACAAAATAATGATAATAGAGACTTACAAAATTTCAAAATGAAATTTCTTGAAATAATAGTAATTTAGTTGTGGCAGTATTTGATTGAGCCATCGATATGTAGATTTTATAAAAAACAACTGGTGTTTTTTAGCAAGATATTCTATTATACTTGAGAGTATCATCTATGATTTCTTTCAACTTTTCTGCTGGGTTTTCACTTGAAATGATGGTTGCATTTCCAGGCAATCTAGCCTGTTGAAGAAAATGAACTGCTTGAATTCTGATATACCTGACATATCATGTACCTATAGATTCACTTTTTATAAAACTTCAGGTGTTATATTCTTTACACTTCTGTAGTATTTACTTTTGCTTCTAAAATTCCTAGAATGTCGAAGGAAACCTAAAAAATAATATTTTTAAAATGTATTTTTAGTTCGATAAAGTATAATTACCTTTTATAAGTATTTGGTGTAAAATGTTGCCGGACATTCGGTTAAATGTTTATCTTCTGGTTTACAACGATTGATCTGCAATTCTTTGTATTTATTGTAGTTTTTTTTATTTGGTGTCATCGGCATCGACTGCTAAAGATACTTAATGAATGAAATAATAAATTTACATCAGGCATTGTAATCTGAAACAAAGACAATGGTTTAGAAAATATTTGGGTCCATAACACTTTAGTGTCACAAAAAGTAAGCCATTTAGAAAGAAAATAGAACCATTTTGAATGTGGTAGAGACTAATTCTTTACAAAAAAGTGCGGATTTTTTCAAAATATAACCATTTTTTTCTAACCTCAATTTTTTTATTTTTTGGAACATGAGTGAATTGTTCGCCGAGTTCAGGTACGAGTTTTGCAAAAATTTGTCAACACTCAAAAAAAAACTAGTTTCTATAGTAAATTTTCTCAAAAAAATAGAAAAACAGCATTTTTCGAGAAAAATATAATGAAAAATTGAAGTGATCTAAAACCATATATTTTGTTGTTTGTAAAAATGCAGTATGTTTACCTATAGAGAGACAACTTAAAAAATATATTTTTCGTCATGAAATGTACCACCCCAAACATTTTTCCCATATTCGCACAAGAAAACATCACTAACAAAAAAATTGTATATTTGTTATACTGAAATATCAAAATATTTAAAAAAAATTACGTAACCGAACGCACGTAAAAAATGAATTGAATGTCGCCTGAAATGAAAGCATACCTAATTTTTCAAAAAAAATCGCTTCCCGGCCAACTGACACAGATCAAAGAATATACATTCTTGCTTCTCAGCTTAATATCATTACTTCTGCCAAACAAACCTAAGTTGTCTTATCTATTGATTGTTGCAGTAAACACAACATAAAATTTAAGAATATTTATTGATTTAAAAATCATATTTTTCTGCAATATGCTCATAAATAGTCTTTAATAAATAATCAATAAAACGCTTAAAACCTATGTAAAATATAAAAACACAAATAAAATTGCGATAAATGAAATCAAACTCTCGACAAACGCACAAAAGAGCATCCGCGAATCGAAATTACTACGCTTCTATCAAGTAATAGGTAGTTTTCAACATCCGCAATAAAAAATAGTTCCAACTTGGAAAGGCCATTTTTTTGAATTTTGGCTATAATCCGCAATTTTTTTTCCAAAAATCAAGAAATACCTATCTGTAGTTTTATTTAAAACATATGTCAAATCTGTAATTTTGTGACACTAAAGTGATATGTCACCAAATATTTATCTATTTTATAGAGGACCCTTACCAAATCTATTCGAATGTATAAATAATAATTATTTATAAAATAAATTCTGGATGTCGAAAAATAAACCATTAAAAAAGACAATTGACAAGAAAAACTGACAAGTGACAATTGACATAAAACTAAACGTTC